CCATGAGATAGTTTGCTTCACAAATTCTCATATAGTATCAAACAATGAGCTTTCATGACCATTGAAGCCATTAGGCAGAGAACAGCAATCATGTGGCCATGCCAGGTTGTTTTTTCATGACTAGTAGCTAATTGCAAAAGAAAATCTAGTTCAAGGCAAGAAGAAACTCGTTTTGATTCTGTAAGCAATCAATCTACTCAAGAGAACAGATTAACTTTTGATTAATGTGGAGGACAACAGATCTTGCAAAAAGGATCCGTACCTTTGTGAAAATTAATGGAGTTCGGCTTCAGAGTTTCATAACCTGCCATGTAAAACAACTAGCTCTGGTGGAGAGATCTGAAGAGTGAGCTTGGAGAGTTTACACAACGTGCAATGCGACATGCTAAGCAAGCACCGCTTTACAGATTCCAAAGACATCTCGATCAATTCCATTTCCATGAAAGCAAGTCATGAGAACAAATCAGAAGAAGGAATCAACATCAACTCTCACAAACACATTTTTTGGATGAGCACAATAAATGGATTCTTCCAGGTATGGATGGACACACATTAACCCTATTCATGCCATTTCACACTTATCTCTCACCAGGCTTATTTCCAGAAAGAATGGGTATCAATGGAACATACTAGAGTCTACATCATGCAGTTCTAATGAAGCAACCACAGCAGAACCAATACTACAAAGAAAGCACCGTGAGATGTAACAGTAAACTAGAAAGTGCAAGGAGAAAATTACTCGATTTTGACATGTTATCCGCAAATTTATCCAACCAGACTGTAAATATATATAAGGAAACCTGCTCAAGGACACCTGAACAAAGCCGATTCCAGGACACCTGAAACAAGCAGCAATATCAAGATATCGACAAAATAGAAATCGCACAACAGTCAGTTATGTTTTGAGGGAGAACAGGAATGGTTGCACCATTCAGATGGCCAAGCGAGAAACTGTAAACCCAGCATCAGAGTTAGACCTCTAGAAGCAAAAGGTCTGCCTCCCCAGAACAAGGTGACACTGTTCCTGAAAAATACAGGGGGAAATCAATAATGTCCAGAGGGAGAATTTGAAACTACTTCATAGCTACAAGTAGAATCACAAATAGATCAGACATACAGGATCATGCCATATTTGCACTGAATGTAAATCCACATATTACTGTTACTGACAAGGAATATACGACTGCCTCATCATCGTGTTACAAGTAACAATGAGTCATGTATATCAACACACAAGTGTACCAGTTAGTTACCTCTGGCATAAACACGAGACGACGAACATAAAATCATACTACAAAATTGGTATCACATAGATCATGAATAAAAGACAGTACCATATTAACAGACCTTCAAAATATGATTAGAGTATGGATACATGAATTTGCTTTAGCTTCCTTAAGGAATTACAATATGGGAAACTAAGAGAAATCTGACAAAGCAATAAAAAGAACACCATAATGAACCTCGGAAATTTTCATTCTAGTCAGAGTAACCATACATACTTGTATTCTGCTGTCTATACAGTCAATATAAAATCCACTGGAAAAGAACAATATATGACAGTTGATTTCAATTGCAGGGAAGTATGGCCAAGACAAGTGATAAGACTTGACCATAAGAATCAAAAAGATAAGAATGGATTCTGATTGATACTAACAAAATTGACTGCGGGTACCAGCAGATATCAAACTTCTTACCTCCATCAAATGTTCATCATCTGATATATTAAGAGAAAGACGGAGATCAGTTAGTGATGCTTCTTGTTCCCAACTTAAGGGACCAGAAGCAAATAACCCCCCCAAAGTACTGCGGTATGTATATAGTTCAGATCTACAGGACATTGTCGTTGCGTCACCTGCTAATGAATGCTTCCTCCTCGCTTCTTCTCCAAGATCACAAGAAGATTCAGCATCGCTACTACATGAGTCTGCCTGTTGACTAGACCCAGGTAGCATAGAAGGTGCCATATTACTCTCATCATAACTAGTAGCGCTACAACTACCAACAGAGCATGCATCGCTATCATAACACTCATCAGCAACTAAGCTTCCTACACGAACATTCTCACTAAACCCTTTTGATCTTACCCTGACCATTTGACAGCAACCAGTTTTGTGATTCTTAGAGGAACCTTGCACGTGAGATTTACCACCTCTATTTTCAGGTCGGCAAGCAATAACATCTACCTTTTGCATTGTGGAGGCAGGAAATCGGTGATGCTGTCCCTCCTTTTCCAGTAATCGTATCCTCTTGGGGTTTCCTGTGCATGATTCAGCACACTCGGACCAGTTGTGAGGTGACGGCCTCTTCAATATTCTAGCAGAGACAACACTAGGCTCGTGGAGAAGTGTGCTGTTCACATGAGGCTGTAGCTTCTGATGTACGTCTGATCCAGTCAGGGTGGATGACTTCACAGAACCAGATACCTGAGAAAATTATAACAAGACAGTTAGTCAATGTGTAAGCTCATTAGTTCATTAGTGAAATAGTATTTGAAGAATTAGCATGGTTTAAGAGACTATGCAAATTGCCACCTCCAACCAGACCCAGAAATTCTTCAAACTGGAAGGGGGAACATATGCGTAGAGTCAAACGACTAAGCAGGAAATCTTAATGGAGATATAAAAACATAACTCATCCTGACAAGAGTTCATTAGCTTTTAAAAGTGAGAACATAACATAAGGCAAACGAACTTACCTTTCCAATTGCAACCCATCTCTCATCTTGCCACGACTGTCGGACCCTGAGGTTTACTTTGTGAAATGTAAATTCCACTGCAGTCCCAAGTAATCGAACCACATAGTACTTTCCACACAGCTCCTCTCGAACTGTGGCAGCTTTCCATGAAAAATTATCAAGAACTTCCAACAGTTCACCAGTCTCCCATCTCTCTACATCCACTTGTGGAGGACACGGCCTAATTATCTTCCTTGGAACTCTCTCCATCACTGCATCCTCGGTTGCAAGTTGGAAAGAGTGATATCTAACATTGTAGGTATGTCCATTACCCGAGATAATCTCAGCACATCGCCACGCACCGTAAGGTGCCTTTTTGTTGCTAAACACCTCAACTCTACTTCCTTTTCTGAATCTCATGATAGTTCACTTTAGTCGAATTAATACCTGCAAAAGAAAAATCTCCATATATGAGAACTACTTCCAAAAGAAAAAAAGGTAGAATAACCAAAGCAGGAGATCAACATTCTTAAGAAATGTGAAAAAGACACAATCTTAAAGCTCAATAACACAGATTTCAACCAAAGAATCCAAATAAACTCATCTAAAAAGCATGTTTTTGATGTGATAATCCTGATACCTAGGAACACAAATTTTCAAAACCCACCAAAAAAAAAAAATGAATCAGTAAAATCATTCGTAAACAGAAAGAAGAACAAGCATAAACGCGATCATTCACGGGATATACAAACAAAGCAAAATTAATCCAAAACTCAGTTCCCAATAAACTCTTAAGATAGCAAAATAATCTGTCGAAGGAAAAACCAAAACAACTTTCAAACGTTATAAAGGAACCCTAAAAATCAATAAACAAGCGAATAATCTCGATCCAATTGTTTTTTTCTCATGGAGATCAAAAGATGAACATCAACATCGAAAACAACAAAAATTGAAAAAAATCGAACAAGAGATTACCTTTATGAATGTCTGAACGAGACTTGATCGTCGGAAGATTTCGAATTTCTCTCTCGATTTCTCAGAGATCGTGATCGAAAACTCGGAAGAGAATTTGGGAATTAGGGCTTCGGGTAATGGAAATATGGGAAATAAATGGGGCATTAAGAGAAA